ACCCCCTCCTGCTCCCATCTCCACAAACTCCAGCGCTGATGACCCTGCCTCCCGCTCAGCTCTGTTTGCCCAGATTAACCAGGGAGAAGGCATTACCTCTGGTAAGCACATTGGGCAAAGGAAGGGGTGAGGACATGGCTGACGTTAAATCTGCAGAATCATGGCTGGGGGGCGGCGAGTATCAAGAAGCTGTTCTTTGCTCTTTTTGGCCTTGAATGAGTGGTTTAACTTCCCTTTCCTGTTTGTGCCATCTGTAGGGAGCTGTTTTAATTGAAAAATGAACTGTTGGGGGGATGGTAAGGGGGTTTGGCATCAGTGCATTATGTGTGTTGGGCTTCCTTAATTGCTCCTTTGGTACTTGCAGACCCACGTGGGGAGTTTTCCATGTGGAAATTGGCATGTGGCTCAGCAGTCGTGCATACAGTTACTCAGCCTGTACTTAGAAATGTGCTTGAAACAAAGGTCATGGATTTGGCTCCAGTCTTGCATTTCTTCCTCGTGGAGAACAGAAGGGCTGTGGAATTCTAGGCCAAGTTGCAAACACGACTTGGCACTGAATTTCGCTGCAGTAAATACCACAAGACTGTTCCTTTCCTCTCATCTCCAGCTCCCTTTCTTTATTGCTCCCTTTTGTTTTTGGGCTGTACTTGGACTATAAGCTCTTAGGACAGGGACCTTGTTCTCTGTCTGCAAAGTGCTCACATTAGTATCACAAAAGTTTCCAGACTACCCGTACTTATTACACGGGGACCGTGTATAACTTGAACCATTTGAGATCTGGAGTTGGGTGGTTTATCTTCTAGGCTTGAAACACGTTTCAGATGATATGAAGACCCACAAGAATCCAGCACTGAAGTCTCAAGGTGGCTCCATGCGAACAGGCCCCAAACCATTCACGGCTCCCAAACCAGTCTGTGCTGCTAGTCCATCCCAAAAAATAGCTCCAAGAAAGGAACCACCAGTGCTAGAGCTAGAGGGCAAGAAGTGGAGAGTGGTGAGTGTCCAGGTGGCAGAGGCTGGTGGTGGATGGGAACTGAGCAAAGGAGCAGGTCCCCAGACAGTTCTCCTCTAAGAGAACTAGGTGTTGGGGATTCTCTAGCAGGGCTTCGTTCATGTAGTGCTGCTAGAGATCCTCAAGTGTCTCATTAGAGAAATCCTAATGAATAGTGTTTTCTCTACTTTTCAGGAAAACCAGGACAATGCCTCCCACCTGGTGATTGGTGACACAGAGCTGAAGCAAGTAGCATATGTTTACAAGTGTGTGAACAGTACAGTCCATATCAAAGGCAAGATCAACTCCATCACAGTGGGTAAGTGCAGGGAACCTGGTGAACCAGGTTTGTTGTTTCAGGACTGAGTCTGGAGTCGGGGTGCCTCATTCTGTAAGCCTCCTTGCCTTTCTGGTTGCAGATAACTGTAAGAAACTAGGTTTGGTGTTCGACGACGTGGTGGGCATCGTTGAGATCATCAACAGCAGGGATATCAAAGTGCAGGTGAGTGTGCTTAGCCCTGATGCTTGTGTGCAGAGTTGTTCTGCACCGTGCAGTGTGTATATGGAGCTGCAGCCCTGTCTCTGTAGGGTAGAATCTGGCTGTGGCCATTGAAGCCTCTGGAAGAGGCTCACTGATGCTTTTCCATGTGGTGCCCATCAGCTAGCATTACCAGGCTGTTCAAAGAGGGTTTCAGCAGGGAAAGCAGTCTTACAGTGAGCCTCCATCCCAGAAGGATTGTCTACCTTAACACAAACTGTGATCTAATAGTTAGAGCAAGTGGCTGGAAGTAAGATCCTATGCTGTCACTCCAGTCTCCACATCCAATTTGTTCACTCAAACTCACTTTCAATAGTTCTAGTCCCCAAAAGAAGAGAATAGTAATTCCACTGGTTCCCCAGTGCAAGCAACCCTAACTCCCCCCTCCCCCTGCCTCATCTCATCCACAGGTAATGGGTAAAGTGCCAACAATTTCCATCAACAAGACAGACGGTTGCCATGTTTATCTGAGCAAGAGCTCCCTAAAGTGCGAGATTGTTAGTGCCAAGTCCTCAGAGATGAACATCCTCATCCCCACAGAGGAGGGTGACTTCGTAAGTAAAGTACTCTGCCTTCCTGAAAGGAATGGGGAAAGCCAAGTTGAGTGAAGAGGGGAGGGAGTGAATAAGGCGCTGGGGTTGTTACTTCTATGACACGTTTTTGTGTCTTGTTGAGCTGGAAGATGAAAATTTAAGCCTTAGGTGAGAGGGGGTAGAAAGTTTGGCTGAGAGTCTCAGCTCACCTTTGTACAGCCCTTCCCTGGTATCGAGATATGTACCAGACCTCCCTGCCACTGTTTCCCTGATGGATTTGCAAATGCCTGATGCTATCAATCTGATGAAACTTGCTCTAAAGACATTCTTGATGGCGCATTACCCTTGCCCCCTACTTTGAGTTCAAGGCCTGAATTGTGGCCACATTGCTGAGTCTGGCCTGCAGGCTCTGTCTCATTCTACATCTTCTAACTTGAAGCTGTGATGAGCAGGTCCATCCTCAATATCCCAAGTCAAGCTCTCAGCCTGGACCCCTGCCCCACCCCCCAAGGCGACATCTGCAGGGCTTGGGATGCTACAGAGCAGCTGAGGAAGGGGCTTAATAACTGTTCAGCGTAATGCATGAGCTCCCAAGGGACAAGTCTCTGGCCCTGTTCATTAAAAGCCAGGCTTGTATCACAGATTGCTTTTCCTTTTTCCCCTCCAGAACGAGTTCCCTGTCCCTGAACAGTTCAAGACTGTGTGGAATGGGCAGAAGTTGGTGACCACTGTGACAGAAATTGCTGGCTAAGCAGAACATGGGCCCACCTGCCCTGCCCTGGCCCTGCTGTGGGACAAATCTGCTTTCAGATGATTCTTAGATTTCCTGTACCTTTCTGCTCTCAAACTGCTTCTCTGTCCTCTACCTGAGAGACACGGCTACCTGCCTTCACTGAAATACCTCAGGCTGGGATTTGGTGTAGGGTGGCGGGTCGATTGATCATCCGCATCTATCAGCGGGAAGGTGCATTCTTTTTCCTCCTCCCACCCCACCTCCCTGTCCCCCTTGTTGGATCTAACCACATCAGTTAATCATGTCTGCCTTCTGGTGACTGTCAGAGCCAGTATTGGTGGTTGGCTTTCAGATTGTTGTTGGGGTTTTTTGTATTAACTTCAAGCAAATTGTTAGTGTGAGAGGAGTGTTGTCCCTTTAAGTTAATAAGGGTGTCCATGTCAGGCGCCAGAGGCCCCAGCTGGGCAAGCTGATTTGGCTGATATTTCAGGAAGGTGCTGGGAGCTGCTACTAACTCCAGCTGTGTGTACTAATCAGTCAGGGGCATTATGATGCAGGACTAGGCATGTTGCCAGACCAAAGGCTGAGGACTGGGGCACATAGCATTCCACCTCGAGTTTCCCCTTCAGCAATCTTATTTGCTCAGCGTAATTCTGTTTGTGCCAAGACCTGAGGCTTTACAGTAACAGGTGCCACAGGAAATCTGCAGTGGAATACACCAGCCCTTTACAGCCTGGCTGGTGGTTAGAAACTGAGTGCTCCCTTCCATAAGCCCTCCTTTAAAGGGAATCTTTATCCAAAAGGGTCCCTTTCTAAGCAGCTGAACTCAAGTTCAGTCTTCCAGGACAGTTCTTCTGAACCTGTCTCCTTCCTAGTGAGGAATATTTCTTTATTCATTCCAAGTTCAGTATTTAAGTATTGTAGACACCTGAGTTGGACCAAGTTGGTTCCATCATTCCATTGCTGTACATGCAGTTACTGTAGAGTGGAATTGTTCTGCCTCTCCCCTTCCCGGCTGCTTGACTCTTTACTTTGCTGGAAGCTTGCAGCCTCTGTCCTGAGGCCCTGGGACAGCTCTAAGACGCAGTACAGTACTGCCCCCTCGAGGGAACTGTGCATGCTTGACTTTCATGTTTCCAATGCCACAGATGGCACACACAGCTCTCACTGCATTTCCTCTGCCCCAGGGTTTGGTTTTATTTTTTTTTCCCACTCTTTTTCCCCATTTAGGGATGAAACTTAAAGATATGCAAATTTTTTTATTATTTTGAGACTGTCCTGTGACTTGTACTCATCTTCTCCTGAGGCTTGTGGAAAAACCTTTCTTATGTACTTAAAATTATACAGAAAATAGAATAAAGTTAATGCCAACTTGCTCACGACTGCGTCTCTGATGTGTTGGACAGAGGGCAAAACAGCTCTTTGTGGCTGAGGTGGCCTAGCTCCACGCACTGAGCTCTGCACTTAACTGCACAGAAAAGCAGACTTTCCCCTTCATATCCACACTAACC